TCAAGTAAAGAAAATGCTTCCCTATTTTCTGAAATCGTATCCCTGATGAGAGCAGCATACATTTCTGTGATCATTGAAAGATAGCACCTGGGAAGTAATATAAGCACTTCGAACTGGTAACAAAGCTATAAATTTCCTTTAGAAAGTTTGGGAATGTTCCCTTAATTTGACATTTCATAGGGAAGTATTTGCCTCTCTTTAATTTGTTTCTAAACACAAGAGACTATTCTATTTATGGCAAGTTACTTATAGCCCAGAGGCAAGAGGGAAACATTGTAAACCCTAAGAAAATTCAGCAGAATGAGAAAACTACGGAGAGAAATTGTTTGATTTCAAGAAACTTCATGGGCATGACTTCTGTAGCCATGGGAAAGCATTTTCTCTGAGATTTGATGATGGAAAGTAGTTATTCAACTCTACCCTCTCAGTCTTATGACACTAAATAAACAATATATGAGTTTATGCAATAAGAAGGAATATGATAAGTTCTTAACAGGGCTTCAAACCAGTTTGTTCCAGTTAGAACCTCTGCTGAGAATTTGCATTTCCACACCAGATATACTGAATCAAAATCTACAGTTTAACAAGATTCCCAGTGAATCTTATTGTATGACAAATTTTGAGAACCACTGCTCTACTAGTAAGGAGCCCTGGTGGTGCAGTGGTTAAAGCAATGACTGCTAACCAAAAGGCTCAAAACAACCAGCGCTCCGTGGGAGAAAGATGTGGCAGTCTGCTTCCATAGAGATTCATACCCTCAGAACCCTATGGGGTTGCTATGAGTCAGAATTGACTCGGCAGCAGTGGGTTTGGCTGGGTTTGATTTGGCTCTGCTAGTGGTTCTCAGCAGAGGTTTGAACTGGAACCAACCTGTTCGAATCCTTGATTCTTAAATCTGAAACAATTAAGTTGTTTATTGGTGGGTCTTCAGTAAAATTTTTGAAACTACAGTGAAACCTGTGACAGCCTTAACTCAACAGACCTGTCTTGTTTTTCCAGCTCTTACAAGTTTTCCACCTTTGACAGGGTGCAGTCTTACCACTTTCTATGGCTCGTTTTAGTGGAAAATACAGATTTCTGCCTTACACAGGTTCTGGCTTTTGCAGATTTTATTGTATATGTTTTTCTTTGCTCTTTTTTATTCCATTTGTTTTCTCTTTTAATTAATGGCTTGTATTAGCAAAGAACACCTTCAGAAAAGCTGGTATCTAACCAAGACCCATTTACTTATTTTGTCTTGTCCTTCAGTCTCATCATTATTAGAAAAGAAGAGGGTCTGCTGTGGGCTCTCCCAGCTCATACTGGCAGTTAATACAGAGGACACAAGGAAAAACTTTGTGCCCCCTTTTAGCAGTCTGCTGTCTTACATCACACTGACACAAAAGAGCTGATAACAAAACAGTTTCAGGAATCAGCTCCTGTTTATGATCTATTGCTATTCTTACAGGAATTAATTTCAATTCATCACGATTTCCTTTAAAGGAATTCAGTGCTGTCAAGCATTAAGAGATGAACAAGACTTAAGGAATTTACAAACCAGAGAGGGGAACTTAAGCTCTGACTTTAAGAGTGAATCTTCAGAGTCAGTGTTTCTCCAAGTATGGTCCTTAGACTCTCTATATCAGACCTATCTGGGGAGCTGGTCAGAGGCTAGCGAGGGGGAAGGGCAGAGTGAGGCACTTGCCCCCAGGCACAAGTCCAGGGTGGCGCCAGGCAGGCGCAGAATGACATTCCTAGGCACCACAAATATGGAAAGCACCTGACTGAGGCAGCCAGACAAGAGAGGGGAAGGTGTACAGTTTCTGCTGTCAATGTCTATTCATCTTGAAATTGGGGGCAGGGTGCAATTTAGAGATTGCCCATGGGCACTGGAATGGGGTGCGGGGGCGGGGTGCAATTTATCAATTGCCCCCAGGCACTAGTTACCCTCAATAGTCCCCAGAGCTGGTTAAGAAGCTTAACTTCCTGGGTTACACATCAAACCTCCTGAGTCAGGATCTCTGAAGGTAGAGGAATGAAATAATTTTTAAGCAAACCAAACCAAAACCATTGCCACTGAGTAGATTCCAACTCAAAGCGACCCTATAGGACAGAGTAGAACTGCCACATAGGGTTTCCTAGATTTTTCTCATGCCCACACAGTTCGCAAACCAATGATGTAGAGAATGCCCTGGGCAGTTATAAGAGGAAATGAGTTACAGTCAGTTGTTCATGTTAATACTCCTCCTAGAGAAGCCCTCCTCTTTGTGTATGTGTGTAAGATGAACTAGGGGACTTACCGTAAATGCAGACTCCTGGGTATGCGCCAGTCAGTTCTTACGGACTGGGTTTGGAATGGGGCCAGGAATCCACATTTTTCACATGCATACTGGTGATTCCAATGCAAGTTCCTTCGTGGCTAATACTCTGAAAACTCAAGTACCACTGAGTCCATTTTGACTCATGGCAACCCCACGTGTGTCAGAGTAGAACTGCACTCCGTCATGCTTTCCATAGCTGATTTTTTCGAAGTAGATCACCAGGTCTTTCTTCTGAGGTCCCTCTGGGTGGACTTCAAACCGCTAACTTTCCAGTTAGCAGCCAAGCATCTTAACTGTTTGCACCACCCAGGGACTCCCAGAACTTTGAAAAGCCCTGGTCAAAACCACTGGCCTTTTGGATGGCAGTTGGCCGTTACATCAAGAACTCTATTTAGGATATGACAACATGTAAAGATTATTGGAGATTATTATTTTGTTAGAAGTTATAGTTGTATGGTGAAATTCCTGACAAGGCAAGTCATATTTTAAGGCATAGTTAATAGAGTAAATGGGATCAGCATTTCACATTGTGGTTTTAATTCAATTAATTGATTTATTGCAATTGAGTATAATTAACTACTATCTGAATCAGAAACCTCAAACTTTATTTAACTGCACTATGTTCATTTGGATATACCCTCTAATTTTAAAATATAAGTCTTTAAATAGAACATAGATTGAGACATTATCTCCTAAAATAGTAATACTGAAAATGTATCATCTTGGTGCTCTCCAATATTGTACAGGTTGTCTGAAAATATAATACAGTATAACAGTATCCTCTACCTTTTAAAAGCATTTAAAAAAAATCAAAGACAAAAGAAAAATCTATGTATAATAGTTGACTTCCTACATGAGGAACTCTATTGCTGGGAGGGTGTAGACTGAAGTCATCACCCCCTCTTGCTCTCCAGTAGCCAGAAGTCATTTCAGGCCAAAGTCAAACACTCCACTGAACCCTAAATAAATTTCCCATGCAGGCTCAAAAAGAGCCTACTACAAATTAAATTATTAAAAAAGAGTGAACTTGTCCAAATTTTAGATAAACTTATCCAAAATCCAACACACATCTGTTGCACAACTGACATGAACTATCAAGAGGGAAAACATTTAACTGTGAAAGCAAACATTTAGCATGCACATGACTCATCAGATTAGAAGAGCTGTTTTGAAGAATTTCCCTAGGACACTTTATCAACCTTATTAATTCAAGATGTCAAAAAAGCATTGAGAATTGACCTGACTTCTGAATTATTTTCAGAATTGCAGTAACACCCCCCTGAAAAGGCCGACCCTAAAGTGGAGAAAAATGGTAACTCAGTGACAGAAGGATGTTAACTTCGATATGTAGATTTGAGTCCCTTCCTCATTCGTCTTCACTGAACTCCCAGAATGGCCCCTGAACATGGTCTTACCCAATACAGATAAGACATGATTTCTCTGACTTCCTGAGAACAACTTCTTATTACTCAGTAAAAAAAAAAAAACCTGGGGTAGCTCTTTCACAGGGAGAGGAAGCCTGCTATAAGAATCAAGAATAGAAGAAAGTGTCCTTGTTTAGAGAGTCTGTCTCTGCTACTATATTATAATGTAAAACCATAAACTAATTTTCTCTGCTCTTAACTTTCTAAACATTCAACCTTACTTGTCTTTTTCTCACTGTTAACATACCCTGGTGGTGCAGTGGTTAAGAGCTCAGCTGGTAATCAAAAGGTCAGCAGTTCGAATCTACCAGCTGTTCCTTAGAAACCCTATGGGGCAGTTCTACTCTGTCCTATAGGATCACTATGAGTCAGAATCAACTCGACGGCAACGGGTTTTGGAACATACCATATCAGCTATAGGGTAAAATTCTGTCTTATTATAATAGGTTGAAACTGAGAAAATTTTATTAAAATTGTATTTTCTGAGAAAATGGAAAATGCCAGTTTAAGCTAAGTGTTTTTGAGTGGAGGGAGAAGTAAAGTATATGTTCCATCTGAATAATCGTAATAAAAGCTAAAACTTCCAGTGCTGTTCCCTTTTTTCTTTATAAATAAATTAGAATATTAAAAAGCCAATTAAAATCCTGTAAAAGTGCATGAGCTCATCTAATTCTCTTACTAGCAATAACTACCATTTATTAGAATGAGATTACATAAAATTTTTATTTTGTTTTACCTATTACAAATTTGCTTAATTCGTCATTTTCCAATTGTGTGTGTGCTGCTTGTTAATCTGGGCCAGTTAACCAAATTGTTTAGAACTAGAGCTCATAAGACCTGTTTGTAAAGGCTGATAATTTTGCTGTTAATTTGCAAAGGCTGTGTAAAGCCTGATAATTTTGCACGGAAGACAGTTATTTCCCAGCCAAGAATTGAAACTATCACCACGTATAAACACAAAGCTGCCTTAAAGGGGATAAGGGGACAAGAGCGTGTGGATAACTGACTACAGCTCCTCAGGAAAGGTTCAAAATGCATGCCTTCCTGGTTATTGGAACTGACTTTTTCAAATGTTTATCAGGTTAAGAGGAGCCAGAGTTATGCTAAATTGGCTTTGAATTGCATGAAATAAAGCAGATGGCTATTGAGTAGATGTCTTCTTTGGGTACTATGAATACAACTAAAACCAGTTTTTGAGAATATAATGAAAAAACCCAGTGCAAAAAAGAACAATGTGATGATGATCTTTGTATATTGATCTATATTTGTGTTTCAGCTGTTTGAAAAAGTCAAAGAAGTTTGCCCCAATGTGCATGAGAAGATCAGGGCCATTTATGCAGATCTCAGTCAGAATGACTTAGCCATTAACAAGGAGGACATGCAGGAGCTTCTGTCCTGTACAAACATTGTCTTCCACTGTGCAGCAACTGTGCGCTTTGATGACCATCTGAGGTACATTCCCATTTCCTTATCATGGCTTGTATGTATACGTTTGTGCACACGTGTGTGTGTGTGGTTTCTGTAAAATAATGCTATACATTCTCAGTGAAAAAAAATATATAAAGAAGAAAGTAAAACTTCTCTAAAATCCCACCATCCAGAGATGGACATTAAACATTGTAGAGAACATTCATCTCGACTTTTCTTTATGCATCCCTAATAATACAGATATATGTTCAATTAAAATGACATCATATTGAGAATGATGTTTTGCAGCTGGCACAATTATATTTCTGTATATCTTTCATTGTTAATAAATATTCTATCATAATTTATAATGACCAGATGGCATTCCATTGTACATGTATATTATAATATACTCAACCAAATCTATTGGATGGACATTTGGGTTGCTCTAATTTTTCACTATTATAAATAACTCTGCAATGGACATCCTTGTGCATACATTTTTTTTACACCTTTGTGTTTTCTCCTTTGAGTAAATCCCCAAAGTAGAATTGTCAGCTGCGTACCAGATGTGCCCAGGTTATGAACAGTTTCTTTTTAACATGGAATTGCATGTTTTAATTTTTTTCTTTGATGATTAGAAAGGTTGACGATGTTTAAATATTTATTGGCATTTTCCTCTTTGTTAAAATGCTTCTTCATGTTCTTCGCGAACTGTTCTATTGAAACATTCTTTTTCTTGTTGATTTTAAGACGTCTTGGAATATTTAGTATATTAACCTTGTATCTTTTACAAGGCTTAAAATATTTTTAACAGTAATCATTTGCCTTTAAATTGGGAATAAATATTCAATACCGTTAAATAACTTTTCCAAATATCTATAGATGATCACATAGTTTTTCTCCTTTTGAGTTAAAAAATTACATTTAATAGAGTTCCTGATACTGGATAAGCCATGTATCCCTGGAATGAACTATTTCTTTGTCATCACATATTGTGCGTACATAGCCTTATATTCCATTCACTAAAATTTAGGATTTTGACCTCAGTTTTTATGTCTGACCTGTATCTTTGCAGTAACAACTCATATTGTTGTTTCCCCCCAATTTATTTGTATTTTCCAACTTCTTGAGATAGATACTTAATTTATATATTGTCATTCTTTTAATGACTGCTTATAAAAGCCCCTTTATAAATTCAGAGGATTGTGGTTTCTTTCCAGATGATTTAGAACCAAGTGACTTCTAAGCACAATATGTACAGTGCTTTAGTGAACGGATTTATGTACACAGAATGTGCCAACAACACATAACACATTCCAAGTCCCACATAACTGCAGCCATGACCCATACTTTTATTCCTGGTCCTTTGAGGCAGCCACCAAAATCCGACAGATATGCTAATTATTGGAGTAGGTGCAATTATAATAAGGCAGGATGCTGAATTACCTCATTGCATTTCCTTCTGCTTAATCTTCTCTAGACATGCCATGCAACTTAACGTCATTGCCACCCAGCAGCTCTTGCTTATGGCCAATCAGATGACAAAGCTCGAAGCCTTCATCTATATCTCTACTGCCTTTTCAAATTGTAACCTGAAGCACATCGATGAAGTGATCTATCCATGCCCTGTGGAGCCAAAAAAAATAATTGACTCCATGGAGTAAGTTGGGCCAAGTGAGGAGCCAAGGGGTGGGCATATTGTTGATTCTTTGTAGATATGCATTAATGAGGTAATAAAGTGGGACACCCTTGAAACAGTTTGCTTTGAAATGGTGCTGCCTTTAGCTACGCTGTTACCTTCTATTTCCTTCTTTCTCAATTTGGGAATATACTGCTGTGGAAAAGTGGTAGGGGAAGGGACTAAAAATTCCTAAAGATTAAATCGTTTAGAATTGCATGAGGTATTTGGAATACTAGAGATAACAGTGGTTTCTCAGGTTCTTAATTAACTCAGCATTGCCGTTAGATAAAGACAACACAGTACAACAGTTAAGAACATGGTTTTGGAATCAGAAAGACAGGGTTTGACTTATGGCTGCACAACTTACTAGCTGTGTGACATTGAGAAAGTTACTTGACCTCTCTGAGCCTCAGTTCCTTCATCTGTAAAATGGAGGGTAATAATAGTGGCTATTTTATAGCAGTGATGATGAATTGAGTTATATAAATGACTTACGGCAGTGTCAGGGCATGTTTAATAAAAGGTTATTAGTAAAGAACAATTAAGAGAGAACAGGAAGGTGTCGGTCTCTTGACCTATTCAGCTGACATATACTTTCTTTACGTCCCATTGTGCAGGAGAAACAGTGTCTAGTAGTTTTCTCTTCCTGCCAACTGTAACAGGAACCACTTTGTTGTAAGGAAATGGCCCTGGTCTCAGAAAAAGTATGGTTCTATTTTCTGCTTCTTCACTCTTCTTCCCCATTTTATCACGTTTACCTTGTGTTTGCTTTTTTTTAACTCTGACTGCATAAAAAGTGTTACAGCACAGAAAATTGACTGTTTCACAGTGAATTTGTCGATTATAATACTGTATTTCCATTTAAAATAAAATTGTCTAAAACGAAGCTTTAGCTAAATCAAGAGTTCATTCCCTTCAGGGCAATCATTTTTGTCTCCTATAGCTCTGACAACAGATATTTTTACCTGTCATTTAAAAATATCCAGGACAAAGAAAAATGAAAGTCATCTAAAGAACCTGGAGGTTACTTAAAGCTGCTAATAAATGATTATTTACTTAGTTGATGCAAAAGAGCTTTTTCAGAGTCCAGAGTTTGTCAGGATAGTTGGAGAAAATGAGAGTATACTCTGATGCCCAAAGTCGATGCAGGGAAGTCGATGTATAAAGCCTTGGAGTGTTTTCAGGATAGAATTGATTTATCAGTTAGCTGCCCTCCCTACAGTGTTGTCTTCTGGCAAATTTGGTGCTTACATATTTGATACGCCCCAGAAAGCGGCAGACCCTCCCTTTGATTTCAGACCATGCCTCTGACTTTCCAGTGATTCCCTCCACTGCTGATCCCTCTAATACCTGACAGATATCATAGTGCAATTTGAGGCTGCAAAGGAGCCTCTAGAGTTCACCAGAGAAAAGACGCAGAAAATGAAGGTTAAGTTTACCCATATTGAGAGGCTTCTCCAGGTACTCCAGACCACTTCCTCCCTCCCAAACTATTTCCAGACACTAAGTCTAGGTTTCAGAGAGGAATAAACTCACCTCCAAGAAGAGGAATTAATTTATCTTCAGGTATTCAGCATTTCCCACACTCCCCTAACTATATGTCAACCAGGGAAAGCAAGTAATTACTACATGATTCATGATCAAACTGTAATTAACATTTTTATAATGTTTTAAGTGATGTCTGTTATTTACCTCTCTGAGGATAACAATTATTAAAACAAATATGCAGCCAAACAGAACCAGGAATGAAATTATATTTTCTCTCAACAAAATACACTTTGAATTCAATTAAGGAATTAAGGTTGTTAACAACAACAACAAAAAAGAAAACAGGGAAAAAGTCATATCCACCATTTATTAATTCAAAACTTCATGTTCAGGACCACCTGTCAGCTTCATCTCTCACCTCGGCCCTTCTATCTGTGCTGCAGCCACACTGGAGTAATTACTCCTCTCTCTCATATGCTTTACCTTTCTTATGATGCTCTTGTTCTTGGAACTTACTTCCACTCTCCTTCACCTGGTTAATTCATAAATAGATTTCAAAGCTCTCCTGGGAAGCCGTCTAGCTTAGGCCCTTCCCCTATGCTCCCATAGTACCCTGCAATCATCTTATCATTGCTCTTAACACCGGTCATTCTAAATATCTGGTTACTTATCTATATTCTCCATTAGACAATAAGCCTCTCAAAAGAATCGACTCTTACTCTTCTTTGTGGTCTCCAGTGCCAGGGCACACCTGTTGCCTTTGAGGTTCCTGACTCATGGCACCTCTATGTGTGTCAAAATAGACTGTGTTCCGTAGGGTTTTCAATGGCTGATTTTTTTGGAAGTAGATCAGCAGGACTTTCTTCTGAGGTGCCTCTAGCTGAGTGCATTAAGTTTTCAGAACTAACTGAAAGGTTGGAGTTTTGAGTCCACTCAAAGGCACCTTGGAGAAGAGTACTGGCGATACTACTATGACACACTTGGAGCCGCCATGAGTCAGAATCAACTGGACTGCAACTGGTGCCAGCACATAGGAGCACTCAAATATTTGCTGAATGAGTGAAAAGCTTCTGATGGAGGTGAAAAGCTTCTGATGACTCTGGATGACCATCGTTGGTAGTGTTCTGGCTATTTTTTGTTTGGTAATTTTTTGACAGAAACAAGAATAGATGACTGAATTGATAGCAAGCTGCTGTTTTGGGATGTGAAAGTCTTATGTGTAAAATACCTGTATGCCCATACCTTACCTTGTTTCTGTTTTCCCATGTCTTCTTAAACTCTGGATAAAACCTATATATTAAGTTTTAAATAAAGTTTTTAATAAAGCCAAGCAACCGCTCTCCAACTACACCATCATTTATGACTGTTTCAACAATTGAATTTTCTAAAGTTTTAGAATAACAAATTACATTAAGGATTCCAAATAAAGTCCACTTCAATCTAGGCTTAGCTGGTTTATTTTAAGAAAACATTGTTTTCTCTGATTTCTTTTTTACATAGCAATTAGCCTGTGGATAAAATAAGATGACTTTCTAAGATTTTTAAGTTTCTATTTCACTTGGAAGTTTTTATTAACAATGATAATAGTAACCCCATGGGTCTAGCAGCTGTCATTGCTCTTAGTATTCCAGAGAATCTCGTTTTTTAGAAAGGAACCAGTTAGACAACAAGATGACCTTGAAGCTGTGCTCTGGGCTTTATGGTCTCAAAAAATGCCCTGAAAAGGTAAAATAGAACTTTTCTTTTCCAGTTTAATGGGGATGCCAGTTCTGGGAAACAAAAATGGATTTGCACTTTTTGCCAGGAACTTTCCCAATTGCTCAGCCCAAATGATACCACCAGTTGATTCAATAAAGGGAGTGAGGCTGTGAGCCTAAACCCCACATCTCCCGCCCCGTCCCATCCTCTGCAGGGTCAAGGCCTCCACTGGTTCTGCCCACCCCATTTTCTGTCCATCCCACAGCTAAGATTGCAGGTCTTGGCTCCCTTCCTTTCAGCCCATATCTGAAATCTCCAAGAATTACCTTTGTCCTGAACCATTCATTCCAGAAGATGAAATTTGATTGTGTTAACATAAGAAATGTTAACATGTTGGCAAAAACATATTTTAATAACAACTTAAATTAGGAGTTGATCCTTTCAATTACTAGGACAAGGGTGACCAATAATCAGTGCTAAGCAACTAATTTCTGTAACTCTCATACCTGCAGTTGTCTTCTCTACCCCTCATCCCAACCAGTACATTTTGTCATATAACATTCTGTCACCAATCTTACTCATCTCTATCTTTGTATTACTAGCTTCTACATATTTGTTAATATTTACCTTGAGAAATTCATGTGCAGAAATGGATCAGAGATTGCCAATGAAATTCTAGTTTTCCAGAATATCAGCTTAAGTAGAATGTCTGTTTTTCTAAACGCAAAGAGTTTAGTTGCTAAACAAAAGGTCAGCAGTTCAAATCCACCAGCCTCTCTTTGGAAACCCAATGGGGCAGTTCTACTCTGTCTTACAGAGTTGCTGTGAGTCAGAATTGATTCATTGGCAGTGGATTTGTTTTTTTGTTTGTTTGTTTGTTTTGTTTTGTTCTGTTTTTGACCAGGAAAGATAGACCTTTGGGGTTGGTGCTTTCTGTATTTTTTAGGCCAAGTTAACTTCCTCAGCGTAGAGGAGGAAATGGGACATATTAAGTCTGGTAAAGTTGGAGGGGGTAGAAACACTCTGTAAAGAAAGGCATGTGAGATAGACTTGGAAGAATGCGTACAGTGTGGATAGGTGGAGATGGGGGCACATATTAGGAAAATGAATGGTGCAGGAAAACCTGAGATATTTTTGGGAAATAGCTAGAAATCCGCTTTTAAAGGGCAGCACGTACGTTATCGTGTAGGGGAACAGTTGAAGATCTAGCTGGAAAAGTAGGCTGGGGCCATAATGTGGAGATTTTGAATACCATGCAGAGGAATTGTATTTAATTTTGTAGAGAGTGGGGAACCATTGAAGGAGGGCAGTGGGGTTGTGGGGAAACGGGGCTGGGGGAGGGTGTTGTTTTGTTTTAAGCCAGGAAAGACTCTAATGAAAGAGGCTCTTATTATGGTGGTAGTGGGGGTTGGGGGTGGATTAGCATGGGGAGTAGCCAGAGGAGGAGCAATCCATTAGCTGAGATGGAGTAAAATGGAGTACTAGAATTGGGAGCAGTAACAGATGGAAAATACATCTATGTGTTTTGGGGGGAAAAACAATACAACTTGGCTACTACTTTATATATGGAGTTACACGTATCTAATCAGCCATCAGATTTAAAAAAAATTGTTGCTGTTGAGTTGATTCTGGCTCTTTTGCACTAAAATATGTATAACTTGCATAACCATCTAATACCAGGGATTTAAATTTTTTTTAAGTTCCATTCTATTGAAATTTTTACTCCAAGGAGGAATGTCTTTTTTAGATTTAACCTCAATTTATTCAAATCCTAATGACTTAAGTTTGTCTGGTAGAATTCTTTTAAAGCAGTGATTCTCTAATTTTCCTGAATATAAGAATCACCAGAGTGTGTTAAAAATACAGGTGATCAGACTATCTTCTCCGAAGTTCTAAGATTGTACCCAAGAAGGTGGATTTTTAATAGGAATCCCAAATAATTTTTATTTGTGATTAGGCAATTTTGGGGCATACTGCCTTTAAATGCTGTTTCATTTAGCAGCTTTCATTTAAAGTAGGGATCATTCTTATTCAAAAATCAATGCACCCTGTTTTTGTTTTTTTTTTTTCCCTCACTTTCTGTTGTCTTTCAACTCCTAGATACTTTAATTAGAATAGAAAGTTTCCAATAGATTTATACCTTTTGAAAATCACACTCTTGAAGCTATCCAGCCACCAGAAGACACAGCTAATCTGACATGTAAAAAGAAAAGGTGTTTCAGTCAAACACTGAAGGCAATTGGCTGTGGTGGATGTACCGAGGTAAAGAGTGCCAGAAGCAGGGAAAATGAAGGCTGCATGCAGCCCACAGCAGTGGCCCCAATAATGGCCTGTTGGGAAAGATGAAAGGAGGTCAACTGTAGTTCTGCCTTTCTGTTAAAGAACACATGGTTAACACTAAAAAAACTGCATCTGTTTTAGAGGAAAGAAAAAAGCTAACTCTAGCATTTGTGCTTTAATTTTCAGTCTTGTGCAGTCTGCATGATGGTATCTAAGTGGCTGGCAAAAAAAAGAAAAAGAAAATTCTGTGAAATGTAATATTTAATATCACCAGGCTTTAAATGTAGGTCAGAGCAGGGTCAGATTGTCTCTTAAACAGACTGGGTAGTTTTCATGTTGCCAGGCCACTGGCTAGGCCTTTCATTGTCTAGCACAGGGCTGGCCTACAATAGGTGCTCAATCAAAGTCTGGATGGAGCTACAGAGGCCAACTCACCATAAGCCGCAGAACAGAAGTACCCTCATCCTCAATAAAAAGTTTAAATTTACTATGAAGCCAGTTGGTCTCCTGAGGTTGGCCATCATTGGCCTTTCAGCTTCTCAACACTTTTCACCACTGCCATTAGAAACTTTAACTTCTGGTTTTGCTTCCTTTTCTACACAGATCTCGTCTTCCTTCCTTCCCCACATTCTCCCTACAACCTTGCCTCCTTCCAAGCTTATCTGTTCTCTCTTATCATCATTCGTCTCTGCTTCCCCAAACCTTATATGGTACCTAAATCGGCTAACCAAGACTACCACGTGGAAGAGCATCTGTTTATTGAACAAATTAGCTGTTTCCTGGGGGCAAAAATGTGATTAGACACAAAGATCAAAAACATAATCCCTGCTCTCCTCGACTCATTATCTAGTGGGGAAACAGACATATCAGCAAGAACACGTAGCAAGTACATACATACATACTGCAATTATTACTAAATGCAATAATCAAGGGAAGAACATAATCCAGACTAGACAAGGACAGAGCAAAGGTTATCACAAGGCAGTGTGTCCACTACTTACCTCACAGAAAGAAGCTTTCCTGGTATACCCCTAGGCTGCCCTACCTGTTGCATAGGAAAATTAGGAGAAAAAAGCACTTACTCCTTTTGTGATTTTGTCTGATAAATGCATAGATTGTGAAATTATTAACAAAGTTATAAGGTTGATTCAATAAGTTTCAAACCAAAAAGATAGTAATATTTAGAGGAAATTCTGTGTGTGTGTGTGTGTGTGTGTGTGTGTGTGATTGCTTTCTGGAATAAATGACTAGGCTTCTTTTGAAGCAGTTTAAGGAGACATTTAGAATTTATCCACAAGAGCCCGTGGGTCCAGAACATCTTTTTAAGTACACTGATAGGCATTTGATTAATTTCAGAAATATACTTTGATTTATATAGTGTCTCTTTCCCATGCTAACTTATATACTGTTAACAAAGAAATTTAGGACAAACAAAAACAAACAAAAAAGCAGCAACCCAAACCTTGGTTAAGAAGAGCATGAACTGAGTATAGGCCCTGAAAAGGCCATCCCTCAACCAGTGCAAGCGCATATTTGTTGCCACTAATTTCCTCTTTGAACCCAGGAAGTGGCTGGGTGAGACAGCATATGGTCTGTTTGACTATATTAGAAAAGATAATTTAGAACCAACTATTATTACCTGTGTGGAGCCCTGGTGGTGCAGTGGTTAAGAGGCTGGCTATTAACCAAAAGGTCGGCAGTTCGAATCCACCAGGTGCTCCTTGGAAACCCCGTGGGGCAGTTCTACCCTGTTCTATAGTGTTGCTATGAACTGGAATCAACTGGACGGCAACAGGTTTGGGTTTTTTTTTTTTTTTTTGTGTTCTTGTTTTTCTGAGTATTACCTATATGGATATATGCTTTTTGGTTGTTTTATTAAAAATAAGTACCCTTGTTTGGAAGCTTAGCATATTGGCTCATTTTGTTTTGTCATGTAGCTTTAGGTGAAGTTGTGAGTCCTCATGAAAACTGAGAATTTAGAACAGATGTAATTATTGACATTTTTCACAAGTTAAAATGGAGGGACCAAGAAGATAATATAATAGAATACAGGTAGAGCTAAGAATGGTAGAAGCAGATCGTCCACAGAACACTACAACATCTTTTGCATTTGCATTCTTAGAAATCTATGGAATCAATATCTTTTCCACTAACACTGACATCAGGAACAGCAATAGGTGCCAGCCAGGTAACATACAGTTCAAGTACATTAAGAGTTTCTGATGTTTTCTTAGAATTTGTTTTCTTTACCACCTTATTAAAATTAGGCTCTATTTCTTCTAGATCTAGTTTTTGTAACCTATATATTTTAGGAGAGAGAAAAATTGTCTCAGATCAGTCAATCCAATGTTGGCCCACAAATAAGATGAGGTGGTGGGAATCTTATATTAAAAATGGGGAGGCCCTTCATTGCCCCACACTCTCTCCCCACCACAAGGTAGACATATAATTGGAATATCTTCTATTTCTCTAAGTATTAAGAGTTGTTTTTAATTCTAGAAACCCATCAACCTTTCCTAATTCAATTTAACTCAAAAGGCATTTGAGTATCTAGAATATGCTCAGCACCAACAGAGGCAGGACAAGGGAATCAATGCTCATGTTCTACCCCTAATATCAAAGGAAACTTATTGGAATTGAGAGTTGTGTTTCTAAGACTTCAAATTAAGCAAATCGTAAAGATCAACAGTTTGTCATGGGAGCAAAGTGAGAATAGTTCATATTTTCTATAATCAAAATTGTATGATTATGCTCTGTCCTATAAAATAGGAATAAATGTACCAAGTACCTTGATTATAAAAATCCCATTAACATACAAGCAGCATAATTTTTAAAAATGATGTAAAAAGTTTAAACAAATAGATCTGTCAGCTAAGAGAAATATTAAATATTTAATTGACAATAATTTTATTACTCTCTCAGAGAAGTATAGATAGACTTTTAGATGATTAAAATGGTCTGACAGCTTTTTTAAAAAGATTAGGTTGATGCCATGGTAACTCAGTTATTCCTAATACATGTCTCCCTTGTAAGTGGAAGTATTCCATAATTGTGCTATTAAAGTTGCTTCACAGTACTATGATCACTTCACTTGACAGACTACTGATAGTTATTAAAGCACTTTAGAATTCATTGGAAATCTCTGGAAATAACTACCAGGTTATTAGCATAGACTCTAAACGGACTTCCAAAATACATTTCATAGATTTGCTAAAATCAATTGTAAGTCTGCCAAATGTAGTTGCTTTTATTGCTTGAGGCACTGAATAAAATTTTTAAAAAATTAAAAGTTGAAGTTTTCATGATTGATGCAGTAGGGTTTACCTGGACAACACTGAATGAGTGGGGCTGCCCCTGAGGCACCTTGGAGGAAAGAGCCCCTGAACTCCATGAGGACAGTTACCTGCCTACCTGAGCACAGCACCTCATGTAGTACTGGGCATATGATTAGCATTCAAAAGTGTGTTCAGTGAATGTGTTTGTGAACCTGTTGGAGAGAAAGTAATTAAAGATAATTGGAGATTACATTTAATAAAGTAATAAGGTAGTAGATTGTATATCTACTAAATTAACCAATCTATCTACCTACCTATCTATTGGCAGGAGGAAGTAGCATTTGACTGGTAAGACTGAGCTTAGCAGTGGTAAGCAAGGAGCTCTTCACGTATGATTTGGACAGGTACACATTTATTCTTGGTATCCTGTGACTGGTCTCAATTCCAGAACTTAAGTTAGAAGATGGAAGTTTTGTATGATTGTCTGCATCTTCCACATTTTATTTTTGGTCTACTGTCTAGCGTATGTTGTTACAATTCTTTTTCCTCTACCTTCAGGTGGTTAGACGACTCTATTATTGAAGAGATCACACCCAAGTTGATCGGGGATCAACCCAATACTTACACCTACACCAAGGCCTTGGCAGAGATGGTGGTGCAACAAGAGAATGGGAACCTAAACGTGGCCATCGTAAGGCCCTCCATTGTGGGACCAACCTGGCAGGAGCCTTTCCCAGTAAGCCCACTTGCCTGGATTTTGTACTTTGCTTCCAAACCATAATCCTTTCAGCCCAGTTACTTTCTGATGTCTTTCCCTCCTCCCCTCTTTCTCAGGATCTACAGCTGAGTGCACTAAATCAAATATAAATCCATTTTATTAGGGCAGAATTCATGTTTGGTTCAGAATTTATCCAGCATGAGTCTCATCTGGTATTACACTGACTATCCTAGAGATGGGATGGACATTTCAGATTAGCTTTTGATTAACTCTAGTGTCAAGATTTCCATGGAAGCCCCCAAATAAGTAAAGCATTACTCAAGAAGAAGAACAAAGT